TTCAGTGTTTCAGAGGTTCTGGTCCAAGGATGGCTTAGCCTCCATCACTTTGGGCTTTGAGGCAAGACAGCATCACAACAATGGAAGCTGAGCAATGGACTGGGGAAAAGATGCACCTTTTTGTCCATTCAGCTATGATGGATATTAATTTATTGATGGGGCTAGTTTTTTATGATTCAATCTCCTCTTGCCCCTAAATATTACGACATTGGATACCAATCCTTCAATATATGAGTCTTTGAAGGGTGTTCCAAACTGGCATTTTGCTGCTGGTTCCCAGAGGCTTATGTCCATCTCATTGTAAAATGCATTTCAACTCATCTCCCAAAGCCCTTGAAATCTCAACACTTCCAACGGTCACTTTCAAGACTAATGAAATCATAGATGTGAGTGCCTATAAAATTAAAAAACAATAGGTTCTATACTTAAACCATATAGCATTGGGCAAGCATTCATTTTCCAAAAGGAAGGAATAGAATGAGGAAGACTGGTCCTCCTCATTGCCTATGGCTTGCTTTGGCAGACATTTCACATTTCTGGGCATTTTTCTTAACCTCCTGGGGTCTCCGTTGCAGTTTCAGCTTCACTCTTGCAGCTTCAAGCATTGCCCTCTCAGGTGCTGCCCACAGAGCTTCTGATTGTCTCACATTGCCTGGCCTTCCAGACCTTCCTATAAAATCTAGGTGGAGGCTTCTATGATTCCACAACCCTGGAATTCTGCATGCCTGAAAAGCCAGCATCATGTGGATGACACCAAGAAGGTCTGCCACCAGCACAAGCCATAGCCAGAACCCCTTGGACTTCAGCTTCAGTGGCTCTCAGTGCCTGAAAGACTAAACATGGGGTAATAAATACAGGGGAAGAGTGTTAGCTTTTCTTGTCACTGTGACATAATTCCTGATTTAAACAACTTAAAAAAGGAAAGATTTATTTCAGCTCAAAGTTTCAGTGGTTTCAGTATTATTTCTTGGCTCCCGGCACTTGGACAGAACATCATAGTGGAGGAATACATGGTAGAGGAGAGCTGTTTACCTTAAGGCTGACAGGATATAGAGAGCAAGGATGGTACTGGGGACCAGGTGTAGCCTTCATATGCAAGCCACCAGTGACCTGCTTTCTCTATCTAATAGGTCAAACCTCCTAAAGTTTCCAGACCATTGCAAAATAGTGCCACCAGCTATGGACTAAGTATTCAAAACATGAACCTGTACCAGATATTTCATAGTTAAACCATAGCAGGAATAATGCCCTAGGCTGCCCTAGCAAAGCAGGACATCCCAAGGCACTCTTCTCAAAGCAATCTTGGAAATAAATTTACTTTGTACATACTTGAGCCTGTGATAAATTGAGAGTGGCCAATTCCTGGGATGCCTTGAAGACCTTTTTCCCATCATCCTGTTGCAAAGTACTTAAAGCTTTTACTATTTGTGTTATTTTGAGACAGGTCTTCACTAAGTAGCTGAAGCTCACTTCAAACTTACAATCCCCCTTATTTAGTCTCTAAAGCTCACCTCAGATTTACAATCCCCTCATTTAGTCTCTGAAGCTCACCTCAGATTTACAATCCCCTCATTTAGTCTCTCACACAGGTTCCACCACAACCAATTTGACTTTCTGTTATTTAACTTTCTTGGTGGTGCTGGGATTTGGACTTAGTGGCTTTGTGCTTCCTAAGCATGCACAGTACCACTTAAGGCATACTTCTAGCCCTTTTTGCTTTTATTAATTTCCAAATAAGGTTCCACATTTTATCCATCTGGGCTGGCCTACGATTCTTCTATTTATACTTGCCATATAGCTTGGATGTTGGGCATATCCACTGCATCCACATTTTCATTAGTTGAGATGGGTCTCATGAACTGTTTTCTAGGTGGCCTCCTGATCATCTGTGATTACAGATTTGATATACTGTGCCCAGCTTTGCCTCTTTCTAATGGTATTCATCTCTTCAGTAACCATTCCACTCTTAGCTGCAGTTTTATGTGTGATTTTTATCTGGCCATACTGCAACTTTTTCAAATCTCTCTGCTTTGCTTTTTATTCATGATTTTTACTGTACATATGACTTAAAGTAGCCATTGGAACCTTGTCACTACTCTGTGATGCCTTTAAATTTCCTCCGATAAACTAGTCTACCATTTTTAAACTGAGCCTCATGCAGTCTCAAGGAATGGACAAAATGTAGAGAGGTCTTTTCAAGATTCTAACACAAGGGGCTGGGAAGTCGGCTCAGTGGTAGAGCACTTGCCTTGCATGCTCGAGGCCCTAGGTTCGATTCCTCAGTACCACGTAAGAAAAAAAGCCAGAAGTGGCGCTGTGGCTCAAGTGGTAGAGTGCTAGCCTTGAGCTGAAGAGCTGAGGGACAGCACCCAGGCCCAGAGTTCAGGCCCCACAACCGGACCCCCCCCCCCAAAAAAAAAAAAAAAAAACAAAGATTCTAACACAAATGGACTCTAGTCTGGTTCTCTAGAATCCTCCTCTCCATCTCAATGTTCATGAGAACCACCATCTTACAGTGACACTCCTAACAGCATTCTGGTTTTCTGAGCAACTACCAGAATCACGCACAAGGCTCCAGTTTTCAACATTCTAAGTATTGATAGCCAGCTCCTCTAAACTTTTTCAAATTCTTCCCAATTCATTTATATAATCAGATATAGTCATAGCAACTACCCCATTTCTCAATATTATTCAACCATCTATTACTTTGTGACAAAATTGCCTTATAAAGTCAACATTGTAGCAGTGAGGAAATGTAATAGAGGAGGCTACTCATCTCATGGAAGTCTGGTAGCAGACAGAGTGAGCAAGGGTCTAGGAAAAGGTATTCCCTGCATAGGCAATGCCTCTAGTAACCTACTTCCTTTAATTGGTCCTACCTTCTGCATTTTCTTAAATCTCCCAACAGTCCATTAAGCTGTGAATCTCTCAATTATTCCATTGATGAGGTTAGTGCCTTTCTGAATTAGTCATCTCCTACCTCTGAAGTTGCAGCAAACCTGAGCCCTTAGGGAGTTCAGATCTAAACTATACCAATAATAGTCCTTGGTTTCTCTGATTCATCCTTTTTTCATCGTAATTTGTTTAAAAATTGTTTTTATATTAGCTTGATTTTGGGAACTATACATGTTAAAGTGGATGTAAATATGACTAAGCTTAAAAATCATTCCGTGATATCATATTCAAATTAAATTTGAAATACACTCATGATTTTTAAATGTATGTGTAAAATTAGGATTTCAAGTTTGTAGAAAAAAGTAATTATACATTCATATATATATATGTATGTGTATGAGAGAGATGTATGTTTGTATATTAAATAACTAGAAATTTTCTAGGCTTAGATTTTTGTGATTGTTAGCTTTGAATAAACCTATATAGACTTAATTTAGAAAGGAAAGGAACATAATCAAGGCTAAAATTATATAGAAATGTTTTAGCATATTAAGGTGTATACGATTTTGAATGTATATATATATGTATTTAATTAATTATTGTCTTTGAGGCAAGAGTCATACTATGTATCACAGGCTGACTGCCAACTTGTGGCCCTCCTGCCTCACCCTCAAACTGCTGGGTTTATAGGTATATGCCACCACATCCCTTGAAGTTCTTAATGTGCTTTTTTTTTCTTTCTACAGAGTGTATATAAATGTGACTTCCTGAACTTACAGCTTCAGCAACCGCTTCAGCTTGCACAGGATGCTATAGATGCTTTTTTGAAGCAGCTGAAAAACCCTATTGATTCTCTTCCTGGAGAACTTTTCCATGTGGTTGTTTTCTCTCTCCTTCTTTCCTATTTCCCATCACCCTACCAGCGATGGATTTGCTGCAAGAAAGCCCATGAGCTATTAGTATTAAATGGTTTGCTACTTATCATCACACCTGATTCCTCCCATCAGAACCGTCATGCTATGATGATGAAAAGCTGGAAGATTGCTATTGAGTCCCTGGGTTTTAAACGCTTCAAGTATTCAAAATTTTCTCATATGCATCTGATGGCATTTAGGAAAATATCCCTTAAAACTACAAGTGACTTGGTTAGTCGGAACTATCCAGGGATGTTATATATTCCTCAGGATTTCAACAGTATAGAAGATGAGGAGTATTCTAACCCTTCCTGCTATGTTCGATCTGATATAGAAGATGAACAACTAGCATATGGCTTCACAGAGCTACCTGATGCTCCATATGACTCAGATTCTGGAGAAAGTCAAGCCAGCTCCATTCCCTTCTATGAGTTAGAGGATCCCATATTACTTTTAAGTTAATACAAAAGCAAACTGCCCTTTCAGTCCAGACTCCTAAACTAATTGCTTACACTAATCAGAAATACTAACGTGAACTCAGTACATAAAATCTGGTTTGCATAGAAGAAATGCAAAGGTTTACAGAGTTTGCTATTTTTTTCTACTTCTGGATTTAAAATTTTATTCTTATATAGAAAGCTTGAAATTTCATGCAGTGAGTTCTATACTAGCAGAAACCACTGTTACTTTAGCATTTCGCACTAAGATATAGAAAGGTACCTCTTTTCTCTTTAGTGCTATTGTTGAAAAGATGAAGCATAAATTCCTACATATTTTCATTTTCTTCAGTTGTTCAATGTTGACTTTAAGACTATTGCATTGAGAAACCTTAAGATAGGTAGAATGTTGTAGATTGCACTTTGATGACTCAATATACCCTGGAAATAGACTGGTTTAGTTGTTTTGTGATGCACTTACTTTTGTCTTTTTTCTAACTAAATTGTTACCTGTCACAGAAGTACATTTTCTATTCAGTTCATCTGATGATCCAATATTTTCTGAGATTTTTGGAGTTGGTAATAATGCTTTTACTTTTGACAACAACAGACATTGAAAGAGAAAATTTCCCCAAAGTGTATATTCTGATTTCATTAGTACAATACAGTAACCACCATTGCCAGAGTATTATTTTCTTAACTTTCTTGTTGATTTGGGCCTTGGTGGTAAGTATATTTATCTGTGAGTGTTCACTTTTTTTAAAATTTAGGTTTCATTTAGGTTTCTATTCCAGCAAGGAACAATGTATAATACTCAACGCTCACTGTAAACACCTTTGTGAAAGGGTTGCACTTGTAAGAGACTTTATGTTCTATTGAGACCAGCTTTGATACAGTCCCACCTTCCCATTAAGGAGGTGCTGCACTACAACTTTGGAATATATAGGAAATTTTAAAATTTACCCTCTCCTAGTAATCTCACAAAATGATCTTGACCTTTTGATATCCTAATTTCTTTCTAAACCCTAGCAGAAACCATTAGTTGGCTGTGGGAATTTTCCCTTTCCACATTGACAAATGCCTTTCTGTGCTTCTGAATCAGAAGCAAATGACTAAGGAGAAATATATGTCCAAACAAGACAAGTTATAAACAGCTTAGAACATTTAGTCCATGTTGTCTTGTCAGCCAGCAATTGTCATGTAAACTATCATTTTTAAGAGTGCCACTGTGTGGATTTTTTTCAAGTGGTTATTACATTAAAATTACCTCATACTGAGGTTTTTGCACTGAAATATCACAGTTTCAGATTTCATGGTTAATGTGTGTATGTTTGTATTTTAAAAGAAACTTGCATTTTCCATAGTTGATCCTAAATTTCATAAACTGCACTTCTCTACTCTGGTAAAACTGAGATTTTCGTGCTTATTGTGAATTGCTGTAATTTACTTTGAATGTCAAATTTCATTTAGAAATACAAACTTGTCCTTGAAAATTTTGTGTGTTTGTGTACCCAGTATTTCAAAGTAAATTTCACATGGTAAATTAATGAAAGTAACAAGATTGTAATTAACCTAAAAAAAGTTAAGACTAAATGTAAGGAATGTTGGTTGCTGAAATGCACTATTAAGTAACCACAATTTTTCAGTTACTTTCAATGGCATATAATCCCTTAATAATTAGGGTTGATTTTTTTTTTCCAGTTAAGTACTAAAGGACCAGGCTTTAAATTCCCTTAAAAGAAAAATAAAAGGAAAAACAAATTAAAAAGCAGTATGTTCAGGAGAATTGTTGTATTACACCTGTTTCATACTCTTTATTCTGTTTGGTTTGTCTAAATCTAATTCCAAGAGCAAAGAAAACAATACACCAAATGAAAGGGTTTTGAAAGTAAATGAAAAGCAGTGCTTTTGAAAGGGTGATCTAAAAATGACCTTTGAGACAGCTTTTGTGTTGTAGCTAAAACGTTGGTGCTATAGATTCTTCTGACTGTTTACAGATGTTAATTTTGCTTATGCTCCAAAATGTGCATGATGTATTTTAAGTAGTGCTTTAAAAACATGTCTTTTTCTAAAACTTACCACCCCTTAGTATAAATTTATTTGAATCTATATCATTTGTTCACCTTACTCAAATTAAGTTGGCATAGGATTTAATCCTATGCCGAACACATACTCCACCAAGGCCATTGCAGTGTGTAAATGTGGAAGTATAGGCAGTCATTGTGGCTTGGTGCCAGATTATATGTATAATGACAAATGAAGTTGTTAGGGTCTTCTAATTCTGTATGGGTACTCTTAAGAATAATTCCATTTTGTTATAAGGAAGTTAAAGAGCCTCCTTGTTATATTCACAGCAATTTGTCCAAAATAATTTGGTATTTCAAAAACAAATGACAATAATGTAGATGGATTCTTCAGGATCATGAATAGATCATGTCATTTTACCATAGTTGCCAAGTGGTTGGAGGTAGCATACCTGAAAGTGTATGTTTGTGTTTGTTGTATTTTTTCACATTTTGTGAACAAAGCACATTTATTAAAATTTTAAATTTTCTAAGATTCTTTGTCTGTTACTTATAAAATGAAAGTTTTGTCATCTTTAGTATATCTCACTAAATAATTTCAGAATTGGGAATAAATTCAGATCCTGACTATTAATATTTTTCCAACTAGATCTTACCCGATCAGATTCCTTAATTTCAAAAATGGCATCACTGAGATTCAGAGAACTCAAGCGGCTTCTCCATTATCCTGCATCACCATTCTGTTTACAACAGATAGTAGGGTAAATTCCCAGTTCACCATGTCAGCTATATAATTAACGTATCTCTTCTTTTATGGTAGCAGTCAGCTTTGTCATGAAGTGAAATATTTTTAGTGAGTAGTTGTTTATACCATGTGCAGAGTGACAGCAGATATTGGGGGTGTTTACAGCACCTGCTTTCATGGAGCTCATGATCTAATGGAAAAGACAAGCTTGTATTTAGGAATGACTTCCTACTCTTTCAACAACTTTGCTCATGCTTAAAATTTTTAATTTGCTTCCCAGAAATGAAATAAGATTTTTAAAAGGAGGGAGGGGGCTTTAAACACAACGAAATTTATTGAGCAAATGACAAATACATTGTATATAAGAGGAATATATAGTACACACACACACACACCAGTCAAAACTTTGCTCCATTTCCCATTCTTGGGAACATAGCACACTGGTAGGATTCCTCTAAAAGATCAGGAGAATATAGATTTAAAATTAGGCTAGAAATTTATCTTAAAGAATGGCCTTTAGCATATCCAATGCCTTGGGTTCAAGCCCAGCAGTACTACATTATTTTTTTTCTCTTAGTGCTGCAGATTCTTAGTTAACAAAGGTAGAAAACAAAATTCTGTTATTATTCCAAGAACAGCAAAAAGATTTATGATAATGATGTTTTGTAGGAGCCTGTGCAATATTTCATGATTTAAAAAACCTTATCTATAATCCATTGCAAACACAAAACTGTCCAAGAATGTTAGTAGTGGTCTGTGCTAAACAATACCCAAAGAATAGACACTAAAAAATTGTTGTTTTGTCCTGTGGTCCAGGCTACTCTTGAACCAGGCAGTTCTGCTTCTGTGAGCTAGGATCATAAGTGTGAGTCATATAGCCAACCTAAGTATAACTCTCCTCTCTTCCTCCTTTCCCTCTCCTCCTCCTGTGCCTCTTCCCCCGCCCCCTCCATGCTGTTTATCAACCCCCAGGGCCTTGTTCTCCTCCAAAGAAGAAAGTAGGTATCTAGCTATATTTTGTGAGGCATGATGGGAGAACACTGGAAATAAGTGACTGGGAGCTTATATGATTGAGAGACATAGGATAAGAACTAGCTCAGAGAACAACTAGCTCAGCAATTGCTATTCTGTGTCTACAGCTTAAAGAGGAAGTATTTACACTTCGCAGGAGGTACAGAACCCAGCAGACTATCAGTGTGGATACTTGTGATTCCATTGAAGTCCTAGCTATTGGACAGTTTCACAGTCTTCACAGGTTTACACAACAGGCCTAGTCTGGCGTTGGAAAAGAATCTTACATTATCTTAGTGAGCCATCAAGATGTTATAGCAAGGAAACAATGCCTGAATTCACTGCATAATCAGAAATAACTACACATTCTCATCCTGCTTCAGTGGCTCAGGGGCTAGCTTCTTCATGAATACAAGTTGGTCTAGAAGTGTGACTGTGACCCAACTCCTGAACTATACAAGATCTGTGTTGGGACATCTATAGGGACAGATATCCAGGACATCAAGGAGCTTGCTCTCTGAGACCAGTGTTGTGGCTGACTGCCCACACACTAAATGCCACCCCTCTTCTTTGGGGCCAGATGCAGAAGCCTGTTACGGAGAAGGGTGAGGAGTTCACACTGTTGCTCTACAGAAACAGCATTGACAACTCTCTATGTTATAGCATTTTCTTTTCCTACAGGTTTACACAGCCAGAATAGTGCTCCCTAAAGGAACCCTGACTGGGTCCAGTATTAGTCCCATTTCTGAGGAGACACTATCAGGAAAGGGGCATAGAGTGGAATGCCACAGTTCTTGCTGCTGCCCCACCTACATGGTTCTCACTCCCACTTAGGCACCACACCTTGTCTGACCATGCATTGCTGGCAGAACTTGGTGTGAGCACCATAGACCACGCTGCAGTGTCTGCCACTTCCAGATTGTGGACCTGTGCTAGGGAGTAGCTGGAGGGCAAGTGTTTCATGCCCTGCTCACTGATGAGGACACCAATACCAGAGCCCCTTGCTAGTAGCAGAGCTTGTATAACAGTCCACTACTGTTAGATGAGTAGCCACACATTGAGTACCCCACATCCACTGCTGTCTGCAATACATCTGCCTAAATTTTGGCTTGACCCTCATTACTCTGCCACAGCAACATAGCCTGCCTTAGAAGCTATAGGATACAACACTAGAGTTAAATAGAATTAAAACCAAAGCCACACAACAAATGGACACCTGAAGACACATCTTCAGGAGAAAGTGGCTTATTTAAAAAGGCCACTCCATAAAAGTGGCAAAGATAGATAATTCACCAAAGGCCCAAATCTCAATGTAGAGGAGAAGAAATACGTAAAAACAAGGGAATGTGACACCTCCAAAGGAATACACTAACTCTCTTACAACTTCCAAAAAAATTGAATGATATCCAAGAAAATACATATAAGGAGTTCAAAATGAAATTAGGAAGGCAATGCCATATATGAAAGCGAAAGTGAAAGGATTCTGCAAAGGAACTAAATATAAATCATGGAAACGAATTGCTTAAAAAGGCAAATGAAAAATATAGTTGAAAGTCCTGGGTAATAAGTATGAGATGTTACCTGAAAAATAATTCAGAAAAAGGAAGGTGCCACTCAATTGGTAGAGAACTTGCCTAAAAAACACAAGATCCCCAAGTCCCAAACTCAGCTCTGCAGAGCAAAAAGAAAAAAAGAAGAAAAAAATCTATTAATGTCAGTAGATAACAAAGGATGAATTAAAAAATATTATGATCATATATCTATATGTTCTACTGTTGAAACAACCAAACTTATGAAATAAATAGTATTCGAAATAGACTAAAATACAGTAGAAGATTTCAAGACCCTGCTTCTGGATGATGACGGATCATCAAAATGTTAAAAAAAATAATAAACATCAGTTAAACTATACTTTGAGGTAAATGAACTTAAAGAAAAATTTACAGAACCTTCCATCCAACAGCTGAAGAACACTCACTTTTCATCAGCATATGAAACTTCCTCTAGAAAAAACCCTATGTTAAGCCACAAAAAATCCTAATGAATTAAAAG